CTTAGTGGTGCCTAAGCTTTGTCCTAGAGTAGATGAAAAGACTGTTTTTCCTTCCAATTTAGATCACTCTAAGTGGATGGATGCCAACAAAGAAGGCCTATTTCAAATGATTTGATATTTGGATACCTTACTTTTAATTACTTTTTCCATATCATAATATCCTTTTTATATCGCAATTCCTCATGTAGCCCAATGATGGTCATGCTGTTCATTGAGTAGCAAATAAAATGCACTCAATTTCAAGATTTGATATTCCTACAAAATAACATATAACCTTTCTACATCATAAAAATTAAAGTTGTTTAATCATTGTTAATGAAGCTTTTGTGTATCTTTAAAGTTCTATATTTGAATCTTGAATTATGTTATGAATACGTTTAATATAAAAAAAACTTGTTTTATTAGGGTAGCGTGGACGGAGTAAAATAAAAATGATAGATGTAAAATATTTTTTTTACAATAGTTTGTATAATATGATATTACATCTTATAATTGATTTTGTTTAAAAATCACATATTAATTCATATACATGCACTCATTTTTCAAAAAAATGAAATTTTCACGAATGCCTTAAAATCTCTAGTTTCATTCTTTTAATCACAAATTCGGGCTTTCTTAGTTAGAAGCCCAAGCCTTAACCCAACCCAACCTGTAATTAATTCAGAAGTTATATGGACCTAGCCCATACTTTCACCACGTCGCACCGACCCACGTTTTAACCCATCTCCGCCATCGTCCTCAAATTAAAACCCTAGGGTTTCTCTGCACAAACCCTCTCTCTACAAAGTAAAGATCGAAGCTTTGCAAACATGGTGTGTTCAATTCGAATTGATCTGTTTCTATAGGGTTTTAAGCTAATTTCTTTGTGGGTTTGTCAGTGATTTTTCTCGCTATTACTAACTCGTGTGCTTTTTTTTTTTTGGTAAAGCCGCAAGGAGATTACATAGACCTGCACAGGAAGAGGCATGGCTACCGCCTTGACCACTTCGACCGCAAGCGCAAGAAGGAGGCTCGTGAAGTCCATAAGCGCTCCGCCATGGCTCAAAAAGTCTGCGTTCTATCATTTTTTATGCATGTTCATTGTTCGGATTTTTGGGCGGTTTTGTAAGCTGATTTATGTGTCATTTTTTTTTTTCAATTGTTGAATGCAAAACAGGCTTTGGGTATTAAGGGTAAGATGTTCGCCAAGAAGCGGTATCAGGAGAAGGCCCTCATGAAGAAAACGTAAGTCTTTTAGTTCTAACCTTTTTTTTTTAATACATACTTTTATCTTGAATTTCTATTCTAAATAGTTGATGATTAGCTTAGAGGAAAACTATGTTTGATTCCGAAAGTTCTCTGTCCCTGTTAGAATTTTTTTTTTTTTGGGCAACTGCTGCAAACTGTTTATGCAAAATCTTTTCTTTGATCTTTTCTGTATGTATGGATTTTCATTATTAGTTGTTCAATGACAGACCAGATGGTCCGTCATGGTGTATCAGGAAGTTCTTTTTCTGCTATTATATATGTGTGTGTAAAGTAAAACAGACTAAACAGTACAGTAAAATGACAAGTATTGAGCAGATTAGACTTAGAGGTGCAAAGCCTCCTAACAGACATGGTTGGCTTTATGTTTTTAACTTTAGTGAGATTATTTAAGAGATTTGATCATCTTTGTATTTAAGAATATTACGTGATTAACAATTGCATCATTTTCCCATGATATCGATAGTTTGGCCATGCATGAGGAGTCATCACAAAGGCGAAATGTTGATGATGAAGTCCATGAGGGAGCCGTTCCAGCCTACCTGCTGGATCGTGAACAGACAGCACGTGTAAAAGTATGTAGTTGATGCTGTTATTTCATACTAATTGCTATGGATAAAGACATTGCAAATGGATCTAACATCATATTGTTTACAGACTCTTAGCAACACTATAAAGCAAAAGAGGAAAGAGAAAGCTGGGAAATGGGAGGTCCCTCTGCCTAAGGTAAGATGTTCAACCTTTTTGATTCCCATAATAATTAGGATGTGTTTTCTCTTTAAAATCTTTTTTTTTTTTTAATTCTTCCTTTTGACTTTCATCCTCTTCTGTAGCAGTTGTTCTGATCATATGCTTTGTTGTGTTGTAATATTTTCCGCTGTAGTTACTGACTTCTAATTTTCCAAAATTTCCAATTCTTTAGGTGAGGCCTGTGGCTGAAGATGAGATGTTCAAAGTAATCAGATCTGGTAAACGGAAAAGTAAGTATGTCTGATGGACATTTTCCTCGGAACTTCCTTTTAGAGAACTTTGAAAGTTTTTTATCCTCGAGTCTTGTTGCCCTAAGTTAGGGCTAAATGTATATTTTGTTTAAGCATTAGGTCATATGTTGATGTCTCTGGTACCATTGGTTTTTGCTATTGCAGCAAAGCAGTGGAAGAGGATGGTCACTAAGTGCACATTTGTGGGACCTGGTTTTACCAGAAAACCTCCCAAGTATGAGCGTTTCATCCGGCCTTCAGGGTTGCGATTCACCAAAGCTCATGTCACCCATCCTGAACTTAAATGTACCTTCTACCTTGATATTATTGGGGTGAAGAAAAATCCTAATGGTCCAATGTACTCCTCTCTTGGTGTTATGACGAAAGGAACCATCATTGAGGTAAAGTTTTCTTCAGAAATTGTGCCATACTGCATTGAAAATCTGCCTGTTTTTAAAATTGTTGATTTATCTTCATTGTGAAATTCAGGTGAATGTTAGTGAATTGGGTCTTGTCACACCAGCTGGTAAAGTTGTATGGGGTAAGTATCTCCTCTCAGCTACTTATGCATGAATGGCTTCCATTTTGGTTTCTGCAATTTTTCTTTACTTTGATTTAGGTCTTGTAAATCTCATTTGGTTGGTATTCATCAATGCAGGAAAATATGCTCAGGTAACAAATAACCCGGAGAATGATGGTTGTATTAATGCAGTCCTGCTTGTGTAAGAGGGTAGATGAATACTGTAACATTCTAGTTAACACAATGAGTTGCAGTGCCTGAATGGCATGTTATCTGCAATTTTGTTTTGGGTACCCCCGAACTTAAAACATTTACTGTATTTTGAGACCATTTCCAAATAACATCACTTTTTCGGTTTTCTAAAAAAGACACTGGTATACACAGCAGAAATCAGGGAACATCAATAACCACACTTCTCATATGAAAGACACTGGCTTCCTTAGAGACTCGAAGTCGAATACATTTGTACCTCAGATTAAGAAGAAATAACGCTATGCCAAGTTATCAAGTAATAGTTTCGGTGCTACTGCTACTGATGAGTTGCAGGAACTTGTGGTTCAGCCAGCTGAAGCAGGCCTGTAGCCAGCCCCTGAGTCAGTTCCTCGACTCGCACCTTCACTACATTCTTCGTTATGCCAATATCACTGGCATATCGGTTTGCACAATACAAGCCAACATATGTAGCTGCCATGCCAAAAACATTTGTGGCAGCAAGGCGTAGTGCTGCTGTTTGTACCATGGCTACAAGAGGCCCGCGTATGATGGATTCTGCTTGGCCGCTCTGCCCAATGGTTCCTCGATTCACAACGAGCAGCCCCGTTTTACAGTAGTTTGCAAAGTGTTCACAGTTACTTTTGAAAAGGTTGTATCCCCCAAATCCATTTTCAAGCAAGTATTTCGCTCGATGGACAACTTCTTCATCTGGATCCGAGGGTGCAAAAGTGCAAGTCCCACCACGCGGCTGTGCGAGAAAGTGGGCTGAACTGACTCCATACTCAAAAAGGCACAAGACACCACCAGCCAGGAAGCAGTTCAAGCACGTGGAAATGACACCATTATCTCCTCCCGTTATATCGCAGGTCGAGCAAGGAACATAGGAACGGGCTGGTCCTTTCTTTATCAAGAGGGAATCCAGCACCGTTCCTGTACCCACTTCTTGGCCATGCCTCGTAAAATGAATGACAGTATCATCCCCAACATAGATACCTATAATTACATATGTTAATTTATCAAAAACATAATTGGTAAGACAATTCCAAATTAATGATAAACAAGAATGAGCCAACACCCAGTCCCATCCACCTTATGGGTATAGCATATTAGAGGAATAGTTGATATTTGATGGTCAATATTCAATAGCTAAACCAAAATTATGATTCTGTAATGCAAAAGGGGGAAAACAAATATTATAGGGATGGGAAAAAACCAAACCGTGATGAGCATAAATATAAGCAGTCCTCCATGTGTAAATGTGATCTCCTGGTTTCAGATTCTGCCTATCGATTCTGTGTCATTCATCAAAATGGAGGATTTGAGGGAAAATGAAGGTAACTTAAATCAACAGAAACCCACCAGATTGGTAAAAAGAAAGATCTTGCAAAGAACAAAGGAATGGGGATTAAAATACCTGTTGGAAAACCACCCCATCTCTGTTTTCTTCTCCTATCTTTCTTGTGAAATTGGAGTTTGAAATCCAGGAATTTGATTCTCCGGTGAGCTGTGAATCGAAAAACCAAAAGCAACAAGGACTTTATAAGCTTGTACAGATAGTGGTGGAGTTAATGCCATGG